AAGCGTCTGAGTGTGACTATTGGTTTCTCTTTGTCTATGTGGCTACATTCAGGACCTTGCATGCTATATGATAACTACCTAAGATGGCAGCTTTCTGAAGTGAGAGGTATAGTTTCTGCGGTAGATTTAGTTTCTCAATATTTTATGTAGATTCTTAGGTATTTCTCCTGTGGCTCCGATCACTATTGGGATGACATCAACTTTTTCTTGATATTCAACATAGTTGTCAGGGTCGTAGCGACAGACAGAACCATAGCGGACTTAATGCGTCCCCTTGGAATATTCCCCTTTCTATTTTAATGGTGCCTGCATCTACACTTTTTTGATTGGTGTTTAAAACAATTCTGGTTTTCCACTGAGACATAGCGTAGTTCAGTAAATTCAGTACATGGGGCTCGATTATAAAGCTGTAACACCTCGGTTAGCCAGGAATGAGGCTGGGTATCAAACGCTTTTTGGTAGTCTATATACGCTGTGTGCAAAGAGCCTTTTGAGCGTTTCGCGTGAGATGTGATGACCGTATCTATTATCAATTGTTCTTTACACCCTCTGGATCCTTTTCGGCAACCCTTCTGCTCTTCGTCCAACAGGTTATTTCTTTCCAGGTGGCTGTATATCTTTTCCGATATGATGGACGTGAATTTTTATATATTGTAGGAAGGCAGGTGATCGGCCTATATTTGGAAGGATCTTTTGAGGACACCTTCGTTTTTGGTAACAAATAAGTGATACCACTGGTCATGAATGGTGGTAGTTCTTCAGGGTTGGACAGCAGGTGAGTATAACATTTGGCTAGATGTTGATGACTGACCTTGAATTGTTTATACCAAAAATTTTGTATTTATCCTGTCCAGGTGCCTTCCAATTCGAGGTCTTGTTTATAGCCTTGGTTACTTGGTCGGTTGTTACTTCCCATTCCAACATAGTCTGGAGGCTAGATGTAGACCTCTTCTCATCAAACAGCCATCTGGTATTGTTGTGAATCACAGGGTTCCCCCAGATTGATTCCCAAAACGTTTTCGTGGCCTCTGGTGTGGGGACCTTATTTTCTTTCAGGGTTTGAGGCTCGTGATCTTCTGACTCTAAATTTTTATAAAAGCTCCTTTCACTCCTGCTAAACTGACTATTGTGTTGACGTCTTGTGTTACTTTCCTTATACCGTCGGAGCTTTTTAGCCATAGCCTTGAGCTTTTGCTTAAGGTGATCCAGTATTTCTGTTGCTGTTGGGTTTTCGAGTCTTTGCTCCCTTCCAAGAATGGCCTTGGCTTTCTTAGTGACTGAGCTGCTGGGGTTCAAGCTTTGATTTTGTGTCAGAATTCCTATGTCCCGCCTGATACTATCGATTTTATTAGTAATTCGGCGCTGCCATGCTGGCGTGACTGAGACATTTTTAATTTGTGTGTCCGTGGAGATTTTCTGCTTGTTTAGTGTTAGCACCGTTGCTGCTCCACTATAAATAAGGCTGTGTAGATTTTCGATGGGTATATCAGTTGTTATTTTGGAATCCAGAATTTTGTTGATTTCACTCAATATAGGTTTAGTCTTGTTATTATAAATTAGTTTGGAAAGTCTAGGTTCCATCATAGGGTCCACTCCATCATAAAGCAAATGAATCCTTTCGAATTCCAGCTCAGAAGCAGCGGGTGGCCTGTTGGCCTCCGGTACTGGGGCCACTGGTTCATCGTCAGCATTGCGGAGATCAGCAGGTAAATTTATAGATAGTTCTGACGCAACTTCACGCTTTATTTGTGTAATAATATTTGGTGGTAGGCGTCTATTTATAAATATAGATCTTCGCTGGTCTTATGACGAAGCATTGGAAATTTTTCAGTTACCAATCTATTTAGTTCTCGGCTGTATGGAGTTTTGGCGGTTTCTAGTCGGGTTAATCTGTAATAGCGGTTTCTAGTCGGGTTAATCTGTAATAGCAGCGAACCATGAATGCATTGATTTCTTCTGTCCACATTGTTCTTTGCCTAACTGTGCCTTGTGACGTGGTGGGCATGGGCTCTGATGGCCCAGCAACACCGACATCTTGGCTTGGTACGATTGGTGGTGGTGTGTACTCGACTGGGTTGGTAATCTGGTTGGTCCTTGTTCACTGCCGCGGTAGGTTGCAGGTAAATCTTCAAGACGGTTCCGACCCGGCTCCTACTGCGCCGGCCCGCCTGAGTATCTCTTATTTCTTGTTTTAAGAGCATTCAAATATACACGTTCTAGGGGTGCTAACCCATAGAGCGGTGGTGCTAGTTTTTGTCCACCCCGGGTATTTTATTTCCCCGGTACTCTCCATATCTGGAGAGCGTTTCCCAATTCGCACAGGGAGGCGCCCATGGGAGACTAGCAACTCCACACGGGTTTATTATTATTATTATTATTATAATTATTATTATTATTATATTATTATTTTATTATTATTATATTATTATTATTATTATTATTATAACTATTATTATTATAATTTAATTATTATTTTTTTTGATCAACTTCTTATTATTATAATTGTTATTATTATTATTATTATTATTTTTTTTTTTTTAACCCACAGTGGCATCGACAGCTATGGTCATTAGCCACTTCCCTCCTGCCTCATGAGGTCATTAAGTTGAACCTAGCATCTCAGGGATAGATCTGAGAGTTGGATAATATATAGAACGCACACAATCACATACAGTATAAATAATTCATTGCATCATCCCATTTACTTAATTCAAGTATGGAGGTAAAACTGAGTGTTTACCATAGGTAAATTACTACAGCATTGAGTTTGTCCTGTTCCTAGTAAAATATTTGGTGTGCCAGACAGAATTCAGGTAAGTTGTGTTAACAATGCATTCTTATATAGGATTCATTGTTTTCTTGATACACATATACCCACATATACATATTTTTCGAGATATTTATGTTGGAGCTAATATTTTAAGATTTTTATAGAAGATTTTTTGTTTAGATTTTGTGTAGCATATTTGTCGATTTCATGAAGTTCAGTAAGTTGTTTATGTTTCTGTGTTTGAAAAGCATTCTTTCAGGTTTCTTGGTATAAAACATTCTAGGCGCTTAGAGTTAAATTTTGGACATTCCAGGATGATGTGTTCTACGGTAAGAGTGCAGTGGCATTCATCGCATAGTATTGGGCTTCGCCCTAGGAGAAGATGTGATGAAGTTAGGTGAGTATGTCCAATCTTTATTCTTGTAAGACAACTTGTTCTCGTCTAGTTAGGCCTGTCGGATATTTCCATTTCTCGATTGTAGGTTGTAGTATCCTCAAACGACTTATACTTTGGCTCCACTGATTTTGCCAACGTTGATGTATCTGGAGCTTGAAATGGGCTTTTAGGTCTTCAGGAAGTACGGTGCTGACGGGGGTTCCATTTTGGGTCGCGTCACGAGCTGCTGCATCTGCTAGTTCGTTGCCAGGAATATTTACATGCCCTGGAGTCCAAATAAATACGACTGTGTTCGAATTATGCGTTAGTTTATGGCACCGATTAATCACCTGCTGGACGAGGGGATTCTTAGCTTGTTGATTTCGTATAGATTGAAGGGCGGTCATTGAATCTGTACATATGAGGTATGTACTACACCGGGTTGTTTTGTCAAGCAAGTATTTAAGAGCTGCCGAGATGGCATACAATTCGGCTGTATACGGAAGTAATAGGATTTAGACTATACTTAAAGGTTTCTGTTAGGGTGGTGAAAGCTGATCCTACGCCACTTTCATTTTTCGCTCCGTCTGTGTAGATGACTTCAGGTGTATTATATCTACTT